AAATGTTGGTGAGGAAGAGGATGAAGTTGACAGTGGCCAAACTCAAAGGAATGATTGATATAAATGGTGAGAATTTCAGTTTTGTAGGTAGGACAATGAGGAAGTTGTTTTTTTTTTTTTTTGTTTTGGGGAGTTTTAGTAAACCAGGCCTTAAAGTATTGTTTGAATCATATGAAATGATTCATCTCTAACTCTTATACCAAGATATGACTATTCAGAAGTATTCATATTTTATGTGAATTTGAGCTGTTAAACAACTGATATGAGTGGTTCCGCAGGGCACAGTTTAGGGAAAGATGGAGATGACCACATACGTCAAGACTGATTTTCCCAGCATTTTAAAACTAAGATACTCCCACATTTTATTTTTTAATGCCTTTCATTTCCCCTCTTTCCATTTTAATATGATAAAAACAAAGAGAGTTCTAGAAGGAAAACCACCTAGTAGAATTACTTTTCACCAGACCTGTGACTTCATAGGTCTAGGGAGCTACTGGTGAGAATATTCTCTACAAGTGCAGATCAGCACCTCTCCCTCCTCAGTCAATCAATCAATTAATCAATGAACATTTATTAATCACCTACTATGTGCCTGGCACTGTGCTAAGCACTGGGTATACAAAAAGAGGCAAAAGATAGTCCCTGCCTTCAAGGAGCTTACAATCTAAGGGAGGAGACAATATACTAACAAATATATGCAAAGCAAGCTATATACAGGATAAATAGGAAATAACAGTGAAGCACTGGAATTAAGAGGGGTTGGGGTAGGCTTCCTGGAGGAAGTAGAATTTTAGGTGGCACTTATAGGTGCCAGGAGGTCAGTAGTCAGAGAGGGAGAGTGTTCCAGGCAAGGGGGACAGTCAGAGAAAATGCCCAGAGCTGAGAGATTGAGTATCTTGTTCATGGAAGAGCCAGAAGGCCAGTGTCAATGAATCAAAGAATACCTGACAGTGAATAAGGTAGGAGTTAGGTTATGAAAGGCTTTGAATGCCAAACACAGCATTTCATATTTGCTCTTGGGGGCAACAGGAAACCACTGGAGTTTATTGAATAGTAGGGTGACATGGTTGGACCTGTGCTTTAAAAAAAAAATTTTAGTGCCTGAGTGGAGGATGAATTGGAGTGAAGAAGACTTGAGGCAGGCAGATCCACCAGCAAGGCTATTATAATAATGCAGGCATGAGGTGATAAGAGTGGTGGCAGTGTCAGAGAAAAGAAGGTGATGTATTTGAGAGATGTTACAAAGGTGAAATCAATAGGTCTTGGCAACAGATTGGATATCGGGGGGCAAGAGATAGTGAGGAATCTAGGATGACTAGGAGGTTGATGTTGTCTTCTACAGTGATAAGGAAAGGTGAGAGTAGGAGATGGCTCAGGGGGAAAGATAATGAGTTCTGTTTTGGACATGTTGTGTTTAAGATGTCTACTGGACATCCAGTTCAAGCTGTCTGAAAAGCAGTTGGAGATGTGAGATTGGAAGTCAGCAGAGAGATTGGGGCAGGATAAGTAGATTGGAGAAACATCAGCATAGAGATGGTAATTAAATCCATGAGAGCTGAAATGAAGTAATATAGAGGGAGAAGAGAAGAGGACCTGGGACGGAACTCTGAGGGACACCTATGGATAAAAGGTGTGATCCAGAAGAGGATCCAGCAAAGGAGACAGAGCAGGAACAGTAAGATAGGTAGAAGGAGAACCATGAGAGAGAGAACAATATCCTAAAAACATAGAGAGAAAAGAGCATGAAGTTGAACAGAGTGATCAACAGTGTCAAAGGCTGCAGAGAGATCAAGGAGAATGATGATTGGAAAAAAGCCATTGGATTTGGCAACTAAGAGATCATTAGTAACTTGGAAGAGAGAAAATTCAAGGTCAGAAGCCAGATTGTAAGAGGTCAAGAAGTGAGAGGAGACAAAATGGAAGCACCAGTTACAGACAGTCTTTTTCAAGATAGTGGAGATATGGGCATGTTTGTGGCAATAGGAAATGAGCCAATAGAAAGTGAAAGATTACAAATTAGAGAAAGTGTGAGGATGACAGAGGGGGAAATCTGTTAGAGGAGAAAAGATGGAATGGGATCACTTGAACAAGTAGAGGGCTTAGCCTTGGGAAGGAGTAAGGCCACTTCATCATATGACACAGGTGTAAAGGAGGAAAAATTGGCAGAAGGTATCTGATAGGAAACAAGGAAAAGGCAAGAAGAGAGAATCGATGGTGAATGGCCTCAATTTTTTCTGTAAAATATGAGACAAGGTTCTCAGTGGTGAATGGCCTCAATTTTTTCTGTAAAATATGAGACAAGGTTCTCAGCTGTGAGAGAGTAGCAGGAGGGAAAGTTATAGGAAGTATGAGGAGGGATGAAAAGATTTGGAAGAGTTGTCATAGAGAGTGGAATGGTGAGTTAATGAGGGAGGTATGTTAAAATTATCTGGCAGCAGTGAGGGCCTAGTTGACATTATGTAACATAAATTTATAGTAAATCCAGTCAAAAAAGTTGCATGATTTTCTCCACCTTCATTCAGCACATGTGTAGGAATGAAGGCAATGGATGGTGGGAGTGATACAATGCTGAGGCTTTGCTGGGTATAATTAGCAACATGATAAAGGGACCAGGGATTCAAGAGAGGAGGACAGTGTAGAGTTGAACTGGTTCACCAAGGAGAAGAGGAGAGAGTGGCTGGTTCAGAGGAGAGATGGCCTGGGAGAAAATTGAGGGGTCAAGGGATTGGAGGTCACAGTGTGGATGAAGATTAGGATTATGTAAGGGGAGGCAGAAGGAAAAGTGAAAACCCAATAGAGTATGGTTAGACAAGGGGATTTCAGAATTGATCAAGGGTATGACCATCTTTGTGTGTGGTTAAGGTTGGGTGGGGGAATATGGGAGGTGAGTAGGTTGAGAAACTGAGTGGTTATGGTAGTTGAGGGAGAGTTGGTATGTATGTTAAAGTCCCCTAGTTTGAGGGCAGGAGTTGGGAAGGAGAGAAAAAATTTGAGCCGGATGTTGAACTCTTTGAGGAAAGAAGGGGAGTGACCTAGGGATCTGTAGACAACAGCTACTATTATTTTAATTGGATGGTAGATATATAAAAAGCATGAACCTCGAAGCAACAGAGTTAACTGAATGATGGAAGAAAGGAAAGAACCTGGAAGTAGCAACAGAGAGCAAGGAATATTCCAACTCTCCCTCCTCAACCAGTGAGCCAAGGTAAATGAGTGAAGGAGCAGCCAGTACTGGAAAGGGTGGCCAGGGAGGCTGTGTCCCCAGGTAGAAGCCAGGCTTCAGGAAGAGCTAGTGGATGGAAAGAATGGAAAAGGAAAAGATTTAAGATGAAGGGAAGTTATGAAACAGGCATTGCAGAGTGCATGGCGTAAGGGTTAGAAGGAGTGAGGATGAAACTTTTTGGTAGGGGAGGAGGGTTGAACCAGATGATTTCTGAGGTCCCTTCCAGCTCTAAACTCATAATCCTTGACTACGGACATGGTTTTTTTTTTCTTTTAAGAGAGGTTTTTCAGGAATGGTGAGCAGAATCTTTACTGTTCAATACCCTAGTATTGCCTAATATGATTTTCTATTTTATTGTATTGCCTTTGGGAAAGGCAATTTGGCATAGTGGACAGCAAGCTGACCTTCGAGTCAGGAAGATGTGGGTTCAAGTCCTGCTTCTGACACATATTGGCTGTGGGACACTAGGCAGGACATTTCATCCTTAATTCTAGTGCCTTCTCTCTGTTGATTATTTCCAGTTTCTCCTGTATATAGCTTGTTTATACGTAGCTTTTGCTATGTATATTAGACTATGAGTTCTTTGATAGCAGGGATTATTTTTTGCCTTTCTTTGTATCGCCAGTACTTTACACAGTGCCTGGCACATAGTAAGCAATTTACATAAATGTTCATTGACTGACTCCCATCTCCTACTGGGTGTGCTGTGTCCCCTGAAGAAAGGCTTACAGGGGCCAGAATGGGAGTCTTACAACTTCTCAGTGCAAGCCCTCCAGGTATCACGTCCTCAGGCCACAGAAGCTAGCTCCTCGAGCCCTCCATCGCCTGCTAGGTGCAGCATGTCCCCCGAGGAATGGCTGCTAAGGGTCAGGCCAGGCACTTTTCATATGCTCCAAAGCAACTACTTCCATCTGTACCAGTCCAAGGCTTCTCCCACCTCCTGACGCCACTGCAGTCTCACAACTGGGATGTGAAGACCCTCTAGCGCAAACAAGAGCAGTTCTCTCTTTGGCTTCAGGCCTCCCATCTGTTGCTGCACCTGTCCTTTGAGGGTGTAGAAACTAAGGCCCAGAGAGGTTAAGTGACTTTCTCAAGGTCACATAGGTATTAACAGTGGCAAAATTCAAACCCATAGCCCACAACACCAATCCAGTATTCTTTCCCTGTGTACCACTCTTCCATCCTACAGGTATGAGTCATGTAAGTAGATTTTTTTTTTAATGAGAAAGTTTTGGGGGTGAGACAATTCATACAATGGACTTCTTGTTCTCCTTCCTCACATGGTCATACTCTACCCACACCCCAGGTCAAGAGGAATCTTTAGGAGAAAAAGTAATGAGAAGTCAGGAAAGACAGTCAAGCTGTGGAGGTCAGAGGAGAAGCCACGACCTTGTTTACAGTTACTGTGTCAATTCTGTGTTGTTTATTTTCAAGTATGGCTTGTTGAAATGTGTCTCGATACTGTTATAATCACACCATGCACACCAAAGTTCTATTTTAGCATCACTGGCAGTGTCAACTCCCTTTTGGCTCAAAGTGTTTGGTCTCCAGTGTATTCTGAGGGACCTAATGTAATTGCCTTGATTTATAGTACCCTGGAGGGATTTGGGAAGTCACTGACTAAGAAGGTGCTTATTGGATTAAATGAGGCTTTCAATTATTCATATTATCTCTGTTTGTTATTAGTACAGGTAATTAAAGGATTAAATATCCTCTGAATAATTGATATGCCTTATTATAGGCCCTAATAGTGATAATACTATTCTTATTTCCCTAGGTACAAAGAGAGGAAATCAGTGCAGAAGGTATTACCAAAAGCCACCTGCAAGGCTCTTCAGAGCCCACGAGAGACTCTGCATCTCTGTGGAAAGCTTCTGCTTTAAGTAGAACCATAATAAGCTCCAGGGACACTCTGCAAAGTATCAGTGAAGGAGATGGATCACTGACCCAGCACATGCAGCGGGAAGGCTGCTCTCCAGGCCCACAACACCATGAGAGACAAGACCAAGACAGTAAAATCCACCAGCCCGGAAGTCCTAGGGAAGACAAGTCAGATGAGCAAATCAGCTCTGAGGCCAGTCATGAAAATGCCTTAGCCCATTACCAGCTGGCGAGTGATGCCGATCTTGGGGAGCAAGAGAATCTCTATATTACTTTGGCAGAAGCTTCCTATGCTGTTCTGACTGCTGGACATTCCCTCAGTGCGCCAAGGGATGCAGAAGAACCATTAGTTATGGCACCCCATGAAACATGCTGTGGTCCCAAAGATCTTCCCTCTCCAATGCCATGGGATGACTGTTTGCCTCAAGAAAATTGCTCCATGGGCTCAGAGCTGGTAGAAGGTCAGTGTGAAACATCTGATTTATGTTTGCTCAGGGATGTGAAAATGATGGAACAATTTTCTGGAGCACAGGTTGCTGACCTGCCTTTCCCAACGTGTGAAAACAGAGAGGCTAGAGGTGCAAACACAATAACGTATCCCATGAGGAACAGCTTGGAAGGGGCATATGAAAATGATACAAAAGAAAAGAAAATAGGTGACAAGAATTCTATCAAGGAATTTACTAAAATTCTAAAAACAGACCAAGAAAGGTTTAGCCCCAGTAACCTTGTCAGTGCCCAGATTGTTTCTACAGAGAACTGCCTTTCCCACCTCCAAGAAGCAGGTGATGAGAGACTGCTTCTTGGGATTGAGGATGAAACAGAGACACCTTCATTTTATACCGTGATTGCAGAGTATCCTGAACAGAAGTCAAATGAGATGCTGACTGAAAATATCAGGGGTTCTCAGGTTCCCAGTGATAGGGAAGAAACACTTGCTCTTGGAACTGTTGTTAAAGGCCATCAGGTCAAATACCTTGCTGTTTCAATTGCTCAAAACAATCACTCGGAGGAAGCTGAAGAAAGTTTTCCTGGGGCGCCAGCTGGAACCACTGCTCAGCTTCCTTCTGATGAACAGCCTGCCCCTGCTAGAAGTGACTGGGCAGCTAATGCTGCAGAGCAGCTGACCCTCAAAGAGCCGCTGGGGACAGCAGCTCCTCTGCCCCATCCACAGCTGCTACAAAGAGAGGATTTCTTGGGTAATTCCCTGGGTGCTGTTGCGGATGGATTGACAAGTGAAAGTCAGGGCCCTGAGAGTGCAGTGGGTAAAAGCTGGGAAGAGCATTGTCAAGGGAAAGTGAGAGACTCTGAGCAAAATGTACACAAGGACATTCAACCTCACCAGGGTTCATTCTCTGATGACAGCCTCCAGGATGGCTTCTGTACCATCCCAGCTGCATGGGGGCAAAGAAGACTATTGCCATTAGAACATTCAACAGATAATTCTGAGGAGGAAGGAGGGAATTTGGGAGGCCCCAGTGTCGGAGTAGCCATGATGAGTGATGAAAGAGAAAGGCAGGTCTCCCAGAAGGTTCCATCTTCTCTGGAAAATCTCCTGGAAGAAGCTAACAAAAATGCAGTGGATGGTAGTTGGGGAGATTGTCAATCAGGAGGAAGGCAAAAAGCTCCAACTTTAACAGACTTTGTTTCAGAGCCTTCACCACCAATGCAGACGGTGGATTCGGAATGCCAAGTTAGTCCAGTGGTTTTGGACAATGTCTGTGTGATTTCTGACAACGCAGTGCAAAAACTAGACACACCTGAAATAGACACACTAACCAGCAGCAATCAGTCTGATTCAGCAATTATTTGTTTTGGTGGAGAAATTCAAGAGAAAAAAGAAGTAAGAAACAATGTAGGTTTTTGCATTCCTTCTCTCCAATATTTGAAAGATTCTGGCATCCTAGAATCATCAGTAGATCCTATAGATGAGAAGGAAACATGTACCTCAGTTTCACTATTTAAAGGGGCCTTGGGTGTGGTCTCAGAAGTCTCTGGGAAGAAAAACAATGGCCATGTAAGGGAAGCACAGGAGGAGGGCCAGTCTAGAGAGGTTCACCCTATCTTGCTTACACAGTTTTTGACTCACCCACAAATTATGGAATCGTCTGTAGATTCCGCAGATGGAGCAGGGCTTATGGAATATGTTGGAGCAGGAAAATTAGTGACTTCTGAGTCCACACTACGGCTGATCCAAGAAGAAAGGAGTTTGAACAAGGAGATCTTTAGTCAGAAGTTGAAAGTCAAACCCACCCTTTTGCAAGTTCCATGTCATAAGGAAGTTGAACACCTTGGGGAAGGAATTCCATGTGTAGGCAATGAGAGACAAAGCCAAGAGGGCATGGAGAGTGACTTAGGTAAGCCAGGCCACAAGGCCCAAGACAGTACTACTGAATGTACTTTAGCACCCTTGGTTCTCTCTAAAAGTCTTGTTGGACTAGCCACTGATAGTTCCAATGAAAGAGATACCAACAGTGCTGTAAGTCAAACACAGGACTTGCCTGTGAATGGATTAGTCAAGCTGAAAAATCATGAATGGATTTGTACTGGTTCAAAGGAATGTAAAAACACTGAGAATGAATATGCCAAAAATTTGTCACCTACCTTGCCTCCTTCAAGTGTGCCTGTTGGAGTAACTTTGACTTCATTTCTAGAGGGAGAAGCCATTCATTTTGCAAAGGATGGTAAAACAGAAGAGCCCACAACTGGAGAACCCAAGGCCACAAATTCATTGGGATCTCCCATAGAAACTTTGGCATACATTCCAGCAGAATGTACCTCTAAAACCAATTCTAAATGTCAAGACCAAATGCCACCAAAGCATTGTCTGAAAGGCTCTTTACCAGGAACTGTACAAAAGGCAAGAGAAGAAAAAAAACATTGTCATATGATGCCCCCCAAATCTAAAGTGCCAGAGACTGTAGCATCAGCAGCTGGGGAAGGAAATAAGAAGCAAGAAATATCTGAGACTGGACATTTAGCTGAGGGTGTGAAGAAGAAAATTCTGTCCAAAGTGGCAGCTCTGAAAATGTGCTTGGAAGAGAAAGAAAGGGCCAGAAGGAACTCTATTTTTAGTAAAAAGATTCCTAAGCCTGAAACACTTACTCAAAATGAAGAGAAAAAAGACCCCAAAAGATCATCTTGGAAAAGAGAAGGCAAAGGTAAGGCTGAGCTAATTTCCATTTCTTTATAGAAATATATGAGATTAGTTTCCATAAGGTGTTTACTGCCTTCTAAGTTTTTTGCCCACAGTCAAATAAGCTGCCATCAGATGGGCAATGTCACCTTTTTTATTGTTATTTATTTTTTACTTATATTTTAAAATAAATGTTTATATTTAAAAATAAATATTTATTTATTATTTAAAAAATTGTCTTACATTTTGAATAATTCAGTTTCCTGAAGACATGATTTGCTGTAGGACTGAGATGGAGAGAGAAGATTATTATACATTTCTATGCAATTATGCTTTAAAAGAAAGATCTTTTTATGAAGAAAACTAACCATAAATATTAACAACAATTTTTAAATAAATGCAAGGGTGGGGAACCTGAGGCCTCGAGGTCACATGTGGCCCTCTAGGTCCTCAAGTGCGGCCCTTTGACTGAATCCTTTGGCCACATGTTTCCCACCCCTGGTTAAAGTATTAAAGCAAGATCCAAATAAGTAAGTACTTGGTTACTATTTGCTACCTTTCTTACTAATTCCTAATTTACATATTATTGTTTAATCTAACCCTGTTTTTTCCCAGCATTTGAGTGTGACACTCTGCTGTCCCCAGCCTCCCAATTACTGTCAATTTATCTGAGTCGAAAGGCTTCTGGGTAATTCCCTGACAGCTGTAGCTGTAGCCATTTCACTTTAAAAACCATTCTTGTCACCACCCCTTCTTTAACAGTCTGAAACTGAAGTAATTCTCCTTAAGTTTCAATCTTCTTCTTTTAAAAATTCTTGCTTTCCCATCAATGAAATTTGGAAGGGACCAAAGAAGACATCACAGATAGATAGAATGCATCTCTATGCTAGCTGTAATGGAAATGCTGTTTTAGTCTGATTCTGATCATAAGGGAGCAATTTCCCTTCTTTACCTTAGTTCTTTGCTTTTGAAGTTCGAACTTATGTTATTCTTATTGCCTATTGGGTAGCTCCTTAGCAACCATCACACACAGGGTTGGATACAAAACTATTTTTCCAAAAGAGCTTGTAGTTCCCCAACCAAGCTTGCCATGCATAACTTTTTGAACACTTTTAGACAGAATCTCATGTTTTTAAAACAAAGATAGAAAAGACATAAAATAGTTTTGCCAATGTAAAACAGCTACTGCATTTGGAACTCCATAAAGGGGACTGACTGTCCAGTTTTTTATGAGGAGTTATTATTCTTCATAACATTGTGCTATTGAAGTATTTGGTGATGACTTCAGGACAGGTGGTAGATAATTAGGCCTGGTATAGCAAGAGCGATGGACTGGATCCTTTGTAAGCTTAGTAACGCATAGGCAAAGAAGGATGCATTTAGAGCAGAGCTGTTGTCAAAGCTATGATTTCAAAGCACACATGCACACATGTAGACTCACACAAGCACATACATATGTGTGCACCCACCCCCACACAATGGATCATAGGTAGAGATCTAAAGCTCGATTGGACTTTAGAGGCCATCTTGTCCAGTTTCCCATTTTATAGATGAGGAAACTGAGGCCCAGATAAGTTGTGTCACATGGGTAGTAAGAATTAGAGCTGGGATTTGAACTCAGGTCCTGTGGCTCCAAGTTTCAGCATCCTAAGAAGGGATTTGGAGCTGAGGAGATTCTTCTACACTTTGGCATTATAAGAGTGCAAGTAATTTACGTTAGTTCAAATTGAGAGCCTAGACTTAACGCCTTGGGTTCCACAATATTTCTGTGCCATGCTCTGTACCTTGTGTTAGGAGGAAGAGGACCATTTGTTCCCAAATGCCGTTCTCAGTCTTGTCTACTACTCTGTGAAGATGGAAGTCTGTCATAGGAGGGTAATGGGAAGGAGCAGAAAATACTCTCAGAACTCTAGACAAGAGTTTGCAGGCTGTGGCATGTGTATCAAAGATGGCTCATGGTCCTGTTTTCAGTGCCCTACACGTCCCTGAGAGGTAGCATGATAGAGTGGAAAGAGCTCTGATTTGGATTTAAAGGATCTGGGTTTGAATCCAGGCTGACCTATAGTTATTATTGTTTATAGTAATAGACACAGTATATTACTGGGAGGTTAGGTGGTACAGGATATAGAGTGCCAGGCCTCCAGACAGAAAGACTCATCTCCCCAAGTTCAAATCTGGCCTCAAACACTTACTAGCTGTGTGACCTTGGGCAAGTCAGTTAACTCTGTTTGCCTCAGTTTTCTTATCTGTAAAATGAGCTGGAAAAGGAGATGGCAAACCATTCTAGTATCTTTGCCAAAAACATCCCAAATAGGGTCACGAATAGTTATACATGACTGAAACAACTGAATAACAATAATATGTACGCTAAAGACCAGGGTTTTGTTATTGTTGTTTTTTACTGCCACTAACTAGTTATACGACTTGGAGCAAGTCACTTCAAAGCCTTGGGCTTTTGCAAAATGAACTTTTCATCTGCAAAATGAGCTAGTTGGAGTAAATAACTTTAAAGGTTCCTTTTAGCTTCTATAGGATCTCCAATTTTAGAGCTGGAAGGGACCTCAGAGGCCAATCAATATAGCTCTCTTACTTTTCAGAAGAAGAAACTGACACAGAGAGGTTAAGTAACTCGCCCAGGATCACACAGCTTGTAAACATCTGATACGTGATCTGTACACAGATTTTCCTGACTCCAGGTCCAGCCCTCTATTTACTCTGCCCCAACCTGCCTTCTATTGAATATATTATGACTGACTTGCCAAAGAAGGGATCCTAGAAATGTATATTAGAAAATCCTTGAAGTCAGCACAGATCAATAGCATTATTCCTTCCTTTCCTCAGAAAGATGAAGGACTGTGGTTGCAGAAAATTAGTTATGCTGTCAGATGTCATTGCTGAGTTGGTTATTTTTTGCTTAATTCTTTTACTTTGTGACAAGGGAAGATTCACAGTTGGGATTGGAGTAGAGTGGAAAAATATATATGACATATATGCATAGAAATTACTGTGATATGATAATATCATCAATAAAACTTTAAAAATAAACAAAAATAAAGCAAAGGCAACTCCCCATCCCTGTGTGCCTAAAATAACAAAATCATTAGCATTTGAGTGAACAGGAATTTTTTTTTTAGAATAAGTGAAGACTAAGAAAGTTTTGGCTTCTGGGTTTGTATATGTTTCCCCAAATTAATGCAGATAGAGATAATTAAAAAGAAAAATATTGAGTCTAAACTACTGTCTGGTTGTAGAATTTAATACCCAGTGTGTCCATCACCACTTTTCTAACATAGAATAAGCTTTTTATTTATACAAGTAGCTGTTATTCCAACAATGGCTGGGAACAGCTTTTGATATACTAAATTATTCACAATAGTGAATATTGTGATGACAGATCCACAAAGCAATGTTGGGCCTTGGCTAGGGCTCAGGATGTTTTTATTACAGTTATTTTTTTGGTTGTTGTTGTTACATCAGTGCTCCAAACTTAATGGAATTTGACTTGTGTTGCATTGACACCTAGAGCTGAGGCTAGGCAAACCTCCCCAGAAACCCTTCTAGCAGTCTCAGAATGCTGACTTTTAATATTCCCATTACATCAAATGAAATTGCTTACTCTATAGATTTTGAGGCACCAGCTCCTTGCTTCTCAATGAAAACCTGCAACAAAATAAAGTAACACTCTCCTTCTAGATTTTTACAAGTCCTGGGCCTTTAGATAATGGTAATCCTTAACTATTTCTAAATGAGATCATGTTAGTACTGCCACCTAGTGGCTACCCAGATAATTGTACACTTATCTGGCATTCCACTCACTTGCTGCTGAGTGATGCAATTATTCAAAGGATAGCCCCGTCTTCCAGCAGTTGATTTTTTCATATCTTATATTTGCTTTAGCAGATACCAATGTTCTGCTAATGTGGAAGAGATAAAATATAGCTCCTTTCTATTAGGGTTTCTTTAACAAAGAACTGTGAGGAAGAAAAATGTGCCACAGATACATTATTGAGTTGCCTTTTGCATCCTTGTGGTCAGATATACCCTATTCTATGCCCTCTGCCCCACTTCCTTGGTGTTGGCTTGGGGAAAAGCGTAGAGAGTAGTTTTGTTAGCTGAAAACATGTACATGGTGTCTCATCAATGTCCAATTTCACTTTTAAAAAGGGGGGTACCCATACTGTCTTTTATTCTCTGTGATGTAGACTTGGTCCCAGGATTTATGAATACCGAAAAGAAGGGGTAAGGTATCCTATAGCATTTATTTTCTCACTTTTCCACTAATGATGAATTGCAAATTTCTCATTGACAGCCCCAGTGCTACTGAAGAAGATCCAGGCTGAGATGTTTCCTGATCATTCTGGAAATATAAAATTAAGCTGTCAGTTTGCAGAAATCCATGAAGATTCCACCATCTCATGGACAAAAGATTCTAAGTTAATTGCAAGGGTTCAAAGAAGGTAAAATGGCTGGTATTGAACTAGCCAGTCTTAATCATTTCTCACAACCTCATTGGGGGCTTTTTCCTCATCTGTAAGATGGGGAGCTTGTTCTAGATGATCTCTCATGTCTGACATTACATAATTCTCTGATTCTATGACCATCTTGGCATGTAGTTTCTTAGGGGGTGGTGGTGGCAGAAATAGTGAGAGGAGGTAATGATATAAGCTCCAATAAGGTAAAAATCCAGCATCTTATCTAAATGAACCAACCAAGCATTAGTAACCATGAATATGTGTTGAATAGGAATAAGGACTAGAATTGTGATTTCATTAGTGTAGGAAACTGTGGGTTGAGGGAATTCCCCTTGCTAATGGAGGTCAGCACCTTCTTTGCAACTTAAAGTCGCAGAGAGTAGCTTAGAACATTGAGACATTAAGTCACTTGCCCAGAGTCACACAGCTAGCTTGTGTGGAAGTAGAGCTTGAACCCAGATCTTTGTGACTTTAAGGCCAGGTCTCTGGCCATTATCTAACACACTACTGCCAGAAGGAAATGGCAAACTATTCCAGTATCTTTGCCAAGAAAACTCCAAAAGGGGTCATGAAGAGTTGGATGTGACTCAAAATGACTAAAAAACAACAGTAATAATTCACATTTCTATAACTCTTTTATAAAGCATCTTCCTCATAGCGCCACTGTGAAATCAGATATGATAAGTCTTATTATTTCCATTTTACAGTTGAGAAAATCATCTCAGAGAGGTTCAAACACCCTCGCTGAAGGTCATACAACTAGTTAGTATCAGAATGGGAACTCAAACCCAAACCTAACACCTTAAGACTAGCTTACCAGCTTCTGTACCGAGCAGTGCAATAAGCTAACTTTGTGAGGCATAAGAAACAAGACTAAGATGAGCCTTGGGGTGTGAAAGGAGCACTGAGCTAGGAGATCAGGACCTGGAATCTGGTGCTTCTTTTGAAACTAAGAAGCTTGCGGTCTTGGGAAAGTCACCATGCTTTTGGATTTCAGTTTCCTCTTTTGCAAAGTCAGGGAGCTTGAGTGGACGGCTTACAGGATGCCTTATAGGTCTGAAATTCTACCAGCCTAAAGCTGAACTACTCTTTTGCATCTGAGATTTTTTTTCTTACATATGTCATAGTGTGTGTCTGTTTCATAACTATTTCCATTAACCTTTCAAGTACTGTATAAGGTCAAACAAAGGTCAAAATGGAACAGATGAGCCAAAGGATATAAACAAGTGTGGCATCCTTGGCACGAAACTGCAAGAAGCTCTTCTAGCCCTCTGACCAAACAGCAGTAATTGAGAAGTGCTGACTAGCCACTTCTAGGAATGGAAACTAGGAACTGGTTTGTTTTTCTGTTTCTAGGAGATTAGTGAGGTGGGGAGTGGAGGTGGTAATACAGCTTGTTTCATTAATGAGCATGTCAGGTGTGCTTTCTGGGGTCTTGGAAGACTGTGTGGCTTGCTTTGTTTCTTCCCTGGGGGAGAAAGTATCGTCTCACTTTTGACCCTTCTTGGCCTTCTCTTTTGTTGGAACAATAGCTGTTTATTTTTTGGCAAGTGAGTGTTGAATGTCATCTAATTTCATTGAATCCCCATGCCAGAAAAGCATTTCCTTCCTTTCTTTGGGAAATAGACTTTTTACTAAAAGGGTAAAAATTATGTGATCCATAAACAAATAGCAAGGCCTGGTTGTGGCAAAGGACAAGCTTAGGGAAAGTCCAAAGGCCTTAGAAATGTTAGCTTTTCCCGAGTCTTACTTGTAGGAGCTCTTGAGTGAAGCCAGAGGCCAGGCCAGCCTTGGGTTACATTCTTCTTTCCCTACATTACTTTCTAATGATCACCAGCTCCATATGACAGAAATTCTGATAATAGTAATCATAATTAGAGGACTGCTGGTCATTAAAAAAAGATACTAGTCAGTCAACTAGCATTTATTAAGCTCCCCCTATGTGCCAGGAATTGTGCTAAGTGCTGGAGATAAATAGACTGGAAAAGCCAAACAGTCTGGACTCCTGAGGACCTCACAATCTGGTGGGGGAGAACAACACACAAACAACTATGAATAAACAAGATAAATACAGGGAAATTTGGGGTAGTTTCAGAAGGAAGGCACCAAATTTAAGAAGTATAGGAAAAAGCTTCTTGCTGAAAGTAAAACTAGCTGAGACTTGAAGGAAGATAGGGAAATCAGGAGGCCAGTTCCATGTGGGAGGAACAGCAAGGAGGCTAGAGTATCTGAAGGGAAGTAAGGTATAAGAAGGGGCCAGATTATAAAGGACTTTAAAAGCCAAACAGAGGATTTTATATTTGATCCTAGAGAGGGCAGAGAGGTGGCACAGGGGATAGAGCATTGGACCTAAAGTCAGGAAGACTTATCTTTATGAGTTCAAATTTTGCCTCAGATGACACTTACTAGCTGTGTGACCCTAGGCAAATCACTTAACCCTGTTTGCCTCAGTTTCCTCATCTCTAAAATGAACTGGAGAAGTAAATGGCGAACCGCTCTACTAGAAAACCCCAAATGGAGTAATGAAGAGTGGACATGACTGAAAAAACAGAAGAGATAAAAAGGAACCACTGGAGTGTATTGAATACACTTTAGGAAGATCAGTTTGACAGCTAAGTGGTTGGATGGATTGGAGCAGGGACAGACTCGGGGTTGTGGCTGTATGAGTTGAGAGAAAAGGATATATATGTACAAGAGATGTTGTGAAGATAGGAAAGACAGGATGTACCAATGGTTTGGATATGTGGGGTGAATGAAAATGAGGAGTTAAGGTTCGCATGATGGTTGAGGTCCTGTGTGACTAGGAGGATAGTGACAGTAATAGGAAAGTCTGGAATACTGTTTTGGATATATTGAGTTCTCAGTGTGGAGGGGGCATTCTATTTGAGATATCTAAGAAGCAGCTGGAGATGCATGATTGTGGGTTAACAAAGAGATTAGATGTCTAGGTCTAGAAATCATATGTATGGAGATCAATATAGATGGACCCATGGGAGCAGATGAGATCACTAAGTGAGATACCATGGAGTGAAAAGAGGGCCCAGGACAGATCTTTGGGGGACATTCATGATTAGAGTGTATGACATGGATGAAGAACCAGCAAAGGAGTCTGAGAAACAGTGGTCAGACAGATAGAATGAAAATCAGGAGAGGACAATGTCACAAAAACCTAGAGAGGAGAAAGTATCTAGAATCATCGTTCTAAAGTTGGAAGGGATCCTAGATGTCTTCTAGTCCAATCCCCTCCTTTTACAGAAACTTTGACCCTTAGAGGTCAAGTGATTTGCCCAAAGATAACTTAAGTAATAAGTGGCAAAGAAGGAATTTGAATTCAAGAAGCTTACATTCTCCTAGGGAAATTCAGCAAGTTCCCAGATAAAATTGAATATTAAGGACAAAAGGATATAGAGTGATTGGTAAAGTAGGGGGACTAACAAATGTGACACAGCCAATGGGCAGTGTTACTCAGAAAGTGTTATAGTCTGTTGTGTTATAGCTCCTACCAGAGTCGTCCTCTGATGCCTTTTCCTGGTGTGGAGAGACTGTAACAGCTATGCCAGTGGAGCACCAGCTCTGACAGGTCCTACCAAGCTGGTAAGGATACAACATAGGCCCAAAAATGGACTGAAGGTCACATGAGGACCAACCAACCTAAGTTCAGTAAGGCCTGTCACTAGGTTGATCTTGGTGATGAACATTTTGGCCTTTGCAATTTATAAAGATCCATCTAATAAAGCATGGGAGACCTTCCATCTGCATTCTTGGAAAGAGTATCCATATAAACGAAAACACAGATTCTTAAAGTAGTGAAATTATAATTACATAATTCTCCAGTTTATCTCTCTGTGTTTATGGCCCTAGCTTTGACTTTTTCCTCCCTCATCCCCACATCCAGTCAATTGGCAAGTCATGTCAGTTCTGCCACTATAATGCATCAGTCATCCATCATGTACTTTCCACTCTAAATGGTACCATCCTAGTTCAGACTGGAATGGGACAATGGCCTCCTGCCCTCCCCACCTAATCCCATACATTTTAATAAACATTAAGCATCTACCACATGTAAGGCAATGGGTTCAGAATCCAATTACAAAAAAGATAAGTAAGATATAGAATGAAGCCTCAGAACTTACAGTCTAGTAGAAGAGAAAAAGATATGTGCATAAATAACTATAATACATAGTAGAATATATTAAAAAGCACAAGAGAGGTAAAAGCAAAATGCTATGAGAGATTCCTAGAAGAAGAGACTACTTTTAGCTGGAATATCACAGAAAGTTTCCTGAAGAAGGCTCAACTCAAGGTGGCCCTTCAAGTATGAGTATGATATCAATAGGCAGAAATGAGAGAGAGAGAGCATAAAGCAGGCATAAGGAATGGTTTAAGTAAATGTGGTGTTCAGGGGAAAGAAGAGCAAGCTTGTGAAACAGTGAATTTGTTGAGGCTTTTGGTCATTTCCTATTCTAAACTGACCTTAAACACTGCATGCATGTCTGACCATTTTGCTCCATTCCTCTAAAACCTTAGTTGGTTCCCTGTTTTCTCCTGGATAAAACCTAAACTCCTTGACTTGGAATTTAAGGATCTCCATAATCATGGCTTCAGTCTATCACTCATAGCTCTCTCACACTATTCCTCCTCCCTGGACCTGATTATTGCTAGCCTGTCTCTAAAGCCTGTGATCTGTATATTTGATACTCTTGCTAATTGGACTATTCACCCTTCTATGATTGTGTCCTTTTATATACATACCTAGTGTACTCTCTTCCTTGTCCCAACAAATATTCTGTTGAAACCTTACCAGTCTTTCAAGATCCAATCCAAATGCCATCTCCTTCATGAAACCTTCCATGATCAAGTTGACCAGAAAGCCCCTTTCTCAACTTAGAACTCATAAAATTTTATTTACATGTGTCTTTATGGTTTTGCTTTGTTTTTGTTTGGTGGGCCTAACTCTTTTATCTCCTTCACCAAATTACAAGGTCTGCGAGGCAGAAGCTGGATCTCCTTCATCTTTGTATTGCCCTGAGCATCCAGTATGGTGGTTTATACATAATAGGCATTTATTAAACCCTAACTAACCCAAACTCAAAAATCAGTCAGATAGGGATTTTTTCTTTCTTTTTTTTCTTTTACTAAACCAAAGCCTTTTCTCCTCTCGTCTATCAGTCAACAAGCATTTATATACCAGCCACTGTGCTAAGCACTGGGGATGCAAAGAAGGCCGAAAGAAAAAATCTCCTGCCCTTAAGGAGTTGACAGTCTAATGGAACATATAGAGAATTAATTTGAACCAAAAAGTACCAATACATTTTCTAAAATGATTGAAGCAGAACAAGGCACAAATATCAAAATATTCACCAAAACAAACATGAGGCAAAGAGTTGTTTCATTAAATATTTATATATCAAATTATGTTTTAAATTCACTAAGTAGCTCACTATTCAAAGAAATGCTACTTTCAATACTTTGTAAGGTAAAGAACCCTGTAGTAGTATAGATAATTGCCCCTTAATTGATCCATTTAGTCAGATTCAATTTTGAAATGCCTGGTTTTCCTAACGCTGAGCACACATGCAGTATTGACGTGATTGGGGGGAATGAGGGCAGTGTGCAAACATATGAATGGTAATCCAAAGACATCTCCATTCACTTCAGTGATTTCTACTATGATGGCAGATTTGTTATCCTAATGGATGGGCAGATTCATATTTCATGATGTTGCACGAATATTGGCCCTTTTACAAAATTTAATGGGCCAACCATTCTTTACAGGTAAATAAATTGTTAAACAACACACCACAATGGAGGGCTCCTCTCAGTTTATTGGTTGCAAAAGACAGGGGAAGGGGGAACACGAGCTTTTCCTTGCAGCTTAGGGATAAGACACTTTAAAATGATTAAGTTTGTAAATGTTAATGTTTTCCATTATCAGTGCAGGAGATAATTCAACTGTGTCCTTGGCCATCGTTCAAGCTAGTAAAAAAGATCAGGGCTTGTATTATTGCTGCCTCAGGAACAGTTATGGGAAAGTGACAGCTGAATTTAACCTGACTTCTGAAGGTAAATCTCAACTTTATGCTCTTAGATGGAAAGTACAGTTATAGTAATTTCACTGATGTTCCAGGTCCTACAGACTTTCTCTCTCATCTTTTGTCTCCTTTTAGTTCTGGGTCAGCTTTCAAGTCATCAGGATATTAAAGGTAAGTCAGTATGGGCTGTCAAAGAAAATGGGTTCACCATTAAATCATGAAATAGGCACCTCCTGGGATAAATGATGGAAATAACACATTCCTTCAGATAGATAACAAGTAGAATAGATAAATTACAAGAGTGGCTGGAGAAGTGAATAGCAACCAATAAGCCACTTCAATCTCTCATTCTGTTGCTTTTGGGTAACGATATTCACTGCTATAGTTTTGCCAAGTTATTAACATCCTGTAGCTTTACCATTATGAGAGATGGGAATTGGGCAACACTAATTATTATTTTAAGTTTATTGATATCATTTGCTTTTATGCCACATTTCATGTTTTCCAGTTCTAAATTAATTTTATTTTATTTTCAGTTACAAGTTCTTTCCCCATTCCCTAGCCATTGAAAAGGTAATGATAACAAAATCCATTACATATATGTACAGGCATACAAAACAAATTTTCACATTAGCCATGTCCAAAAAGAATCAGGAAAAAAGAAAGAAAGAGAAAAAAATATTCTTCAGTCTTTGCTCTGAGTCCATCAGTTCTCTATCTGGAGGTGGATATTTTGTTTCATCATGAGTTCTTTGGAATTGTGGTTGTCCATTGTGTTAATCAGTTACTAAATCTTTCAGAGTTGATTATCTTTACAACATTGTGGTTAAGGTATAAATTGTTCTCTTGGTTGTGCTCACCTCACTTTGTATCAATTCATATAGTTCTTTCTAGGTTTTTCTGAAATCACCCCCTTCATTATTTCTTACAGCACAATAGTATTCCATCACATTCATTTGCTATAACTTATTTAGCCATTCCCCACTTGTCATGTCTGAATTTGACTGAATCCAAACTTCAGCAGAACAAATCCCTTTAATAAAAGCTTTTGTTCTGTGAAGTTTGATTCAGTCAATGGGGCTGCACTTAAAGACCTAAAGGGTCACATGTGGCCTCAAGGCCTCAGGTTCCCCACCCCTGCATAGACATTTTAGCCACTTTTTAAAAAAGCATAGTTCAAAATTGTTTGCCAGAATTGTTGGGCCAATTAACCAACAGCATCTGAGTATTGCTGTTTTTTCACAGCCCCTCTCACAATGATTTGTTGTTTCTCACAGTGAAATAATATTCCATTACATTCTTTTACCACACTTTTTTCAGCCATTCCCCAAACAATGAGCACCCATTTTGTTCCTAGTTCTTTGCTACCACAAAGTGTTGCTATGCATAGCACTAATGCTGTAATAAGCATTTGGAATGAGGACTTTCAGGTTAGAATTTCTATTTGAGAGTGTCTATCATATGTAGATTTGACAGTTGTGGGCAACCCCTCCTCCCCCCCCCCCCCCAAAAAAAAGAAAACCAAGTTCCATGCACCAATATTAGACTTTCTTCCACAATTCCACCTCCCTTTTTTCGTATGGGCTCACAAACTACTCCTTTCATTGCTTCCATTGGCTGTTCAGCTGTGCATGCTGATAAGCACATTCCCAAAAGAGATCAGGTATTTGGCATGAGCAAATCTTTTCATCTGCACTTCAATGCAAATGGAAGGAGGGTTTTGATGTTTGCCTTTGATACCCACAAGGCTCTCAGCTCCACAAAGGCTCAGGAGGCATTCCTGAATCTGCTCACGTCCTGATCATCTCCTCCACTGAATGTTCCCTGGCAAAGAACTCTTCTGCAGTCTGTCCCTCCTCAGGGAAATTTCACCCTCTGTGCAGGGTACAAAGTGCAGCTGATTCAGCAGAGAACTGAATTTCACTTCCATTAAAATGCTTTTGGGTCATTCTGATGGTTTATAGCTTGTGCTCATTCTAAAACAAAACAAAACACAAGACAAACCAAACCCCAAACTTATGGTTGAAGAGATATTTAATGAAATATTTGTGAAAACACTAGGAGAAGGGTAATTAGGATGTGTAGAATGTTTTGCTCATTTAAGGTAATGGGTAAAGAATACTTTGGTCAGGAGACATTACGGTGCCCTGGAAAAGAGTACCAGTGTAGACATCAGAGCATGGAGGTTCAAGTCTCACCTGTGATGGTTACTTCGTGAGTGATTTTGGGCAAGTCACTTAGTCTTGATTTCTTCATCTGTAAAATGAAGAGATTGCACTAGATGGCCTCTGAGACTCTTTCAAACTCCAGATCTGTGAATTTTTGTCCTTCACTCGGGTCTGGGAGAGGTTGTGAAGTTGATAGTTTTTGAGTGAGACCTTTGATTTCATCGGTTTCAGGAACTCCCTCTACGAATATATATTAACACCTATTCTACAATTTGTAGGCTTAGAATATTGCCCGGGGTATTGAGTTATAAAAAACGAGTAACTTGAATAACGAGGAGTTTCTGACTCCGTGTCAGGAGGAACTTTATAACTATTAGAGTTATTTCAAAGTTAAATGGCTTGCTTTGAGAGGCAGTGAATTTCTCTCACTAGAGTTTTCAGTCTGAGAGGCTGGATGATCACTTATCATTGTTGATGATTAAGGGATTGAGGCTTCAGGTGGGCGTTGGACTGAATGATCCTGAAATCTTTTACAGCTCTGAGATTCTATGTATGACTTTTGGTACCTCTGAACAAAACCGTCAGAGCAGAAAACAAATTTCCTTCTAGTGTTGATGATGAGTGCTATGCCTGCCAGTGGCCTCCAAGAAAAAGTGTCATACAGGCTTCCCTCTTCATTTGTAAATCACAGAATGGAACTCTGAAGTAAAGAGGGGCCCCTTCTTGCAGTCTGTACAGAGATGGTCTTGTTGTGGTCTATACTGTGATGCTCGCTACTGCTTTGCAAGTTTGGGTTTGTACATTCAGGTTTTAAGAGTGGCTGGGTTTTTTTTAACTGCTCAGGAAAACTGAGCCTGCAGTTAGGGTTAAGATGTGCCCCAATGGCAGTGGTGCCTTGGCCCCAGCCCCACAGTAAGATTAATCAGTCTCTAGTCTAGAAGTCTCATGGGCTTTAGGCCCACTCCTCAGAACTTCTTCGACTATGATTACCAGGCTGTTTCCACAGCTCTCTAGGGTGGTGAGGGCCACGCCCAGCCTTCCCCTGCCTTTTTATGGTACAACAGAAGCCACAACAATGAATTGCTTCTTTATTAGCTTTGTATTCGGTTCTAGGGTGCTCCTATCTGCCCTTTCTTACTAAATGTCTTCTGAATGTAATTATAATTTGCATGTTGCTCTCTGATTCAAAGCTAATAAAGCTAAACCCATGAGAAACTCCAGAATGAATGTCACGCCAGCTACAAGCAATGAGCTATGCATGATGACATTATTAAGGTTATGGATGTATTTGGAGATCACTTTCTTCTTGTTGTCTTTAGGATCCGCATCCTATACCGTTGCCTCCAGGCTGTGCTCCTTCTGTCTAAGTTGAATGTAATCTGTGGCTTGTAATAAAGCCTTCTGAAAGCTAAGATGTTGATTTATATTCAACAGTTCCAACAAACAAACCCAAATGAGTTTTTGCCAACTCATGGCATGCATCATGCTTTATTTAAGCACCATATTAAGGCCACTGGTAATTTCCTGTCCAAATGGTGCATTTGGTTTTTCTCACAATTTTAGGCTATCTATCCATCTACAATGTGGAAGATATTTAGTAGATAAGAAATTTGACAGAAACAATCTTCTGCAAAATTGTCATATACATGAGGTTTAGCTCCATCACCTTTGTCTTCCTGTCCTTCCCACCTTTTTATTTTTCTCCTCCTCCCTTTTTTCCCTTATGTCCTGGGTGGGAAGGAATCTAATTATTTGCTTAGGTATTAGGACTTAGTATGTTCACCTTCCCAAGCAACACATTAAAGCATTTATCCTTTAAAATATCTTAACCTGTAGGAACGAATTACTAATGGTAGACTTTCAGGCATAGTTTGAGAGTTCTTAGAAATGGAGAAGGTCTATAAACACACTGTAGCATTTCGTGGATTTGGAGTTAGAGGGTCTGGGTTGAAATTCCACCTCTGACATGTGTGACCTCAGGAAAGTCACATCAATTCTCTAGGCTGCAGTTTTTGTTCTCTTATTTGTTTTGTCTCTAAAATGGAAACTATGTGACCTCTAGCCCATTCCCGCTCTTACCTGCAAACACTCTGTACCTAGGAAACAGTAGGGTAGACATTAAGCCACAATCTCAGGCTTATATGATCATCATTTTTGGGCAAGAAGCAAGGATGTGCTGGAGCAGCTCAAACTGGCTTTTGAGAGTCAATTGTTAAATTTTCAGTGTGAGGACTTTGCCTCAGAAATCAGCAAATACTACAGATCAAGGTCTGATTTAATGTTTTGTTGGTTGTCTAGACTTAAGAAGGTGATGGAGAAAAATGTTTAAAATGCAGATTAAACTTGAAAGTGTGTCCTGCTTTTTTCAGAAAGCAGATTGTTAAACATTTACCATTTGCCATACCTCTTGCTGAAAGGGCCATGGAAGTCATCTAGGGCCTACTTCTCTAGCCCTTCCGAAACCAAAGAAGGTACCTTGTATCTTCTGACTACAGACGAGAACCTTTTTATGTTGAATTGACAGACTATAAAGGAAAGAACTCACCCGGTTTTCTTCACTCCCAGGCACCTTCAGAACAGCTGGTGACTATAGAAAACCCAATTTAAAACCATTACTAGCTGGTGAAACTTATATTACTAGCTTAGCTAGCCAGTGATGCTGGTAAAGAAAGGAAAGGGGAGCATTTCTCCAGCATTTTTATATGGCAAATAACCATTTCTGAAGCTCCATTAACACAAAATTCTTGCATATCAATCTAGTGTGTGGCGGGGGGAGTCTTCTCAAGGCCCCCGAATCATGCCACATTGTTGTTGTTGTTCAGTCACTTCCAACTCTTCATGACTCCACAGACCATACTGTCCATGGGGTTTTCTTGGCAAAGATACTGGAGTGGTTTGTCATTACTTTCATACCACATAGACAGTTGCTTATTCCACCTCCCATAAGGCCTTATAGAGACAGCCTGCATAACGGATGAGAGGGATGGTGTTAGAGGTAGGAAGACCTGGGCGCATGTTCTGCCTCTGACACATACTTGCTGTATGACCCTGGGCTAGTTGCATAACCTCTAGTATACCCCAGCAATTTTCTAAGACTATAGGCAACAGAGAAGTCTCAGATCTATATCCCCAGAGGAAGTTTACATGTTGGAACTTTTTTCATTGATGAAATTACAGGTCCAGACAGAAAAGAATAACAACAACAAAACCCATAGAGCAGAATAGGGACCACTTCTTAGAATGTTTTTCTAAAACACCTGCACCAGGTTCTGCTTGTTACTACTCTTTGAAGTGTACTGAGGGATGCTGTCATTTTAGCCAAAGGAAAAGACAAAGAATGAGATTGGTGTTGTTTCTTCTGTTCTGTGTCTTTGTCAAGCAGCCCAGATCTGTTGCAAATCATAGGCAGGCCTGTTAATGATGCCCCGTCCTGTGCTCTGCTGTTGCTGCAGCTTTTCCTTCCTATAGCCCAACATGTTCTCCTGGGTAACCATCTTCTTGAAGGATTGACTGAACTAATTTTGGAGTTCTGCTTGAGTTGCAGAAATGTTTAACCCTTTTTAGAAACTGAATTACACTGAAATGTTTCATTAATTAATTCTAGGTACCTCTGGGTTTTAAGCAATGAGGTTGTCAGATATAAAGATTTATTTTTAAATAGATTATAATTCTTGTCCCTATAGAGTTTACTTTATTCTCCTATTGGGAGTCAGGGCCCAACCTATAAAATTAGAAATAGTCATACGCAAGAACTGAAAAATCTTTGTATTGCATATAAAGATGGCTATTCTCTTCTGCAAAGCATCATTTTAAAAATTTCATAGTACATATATACATACACACATGTGTAGTATATTTATGTATACATATATATTTTATATCTCTATGTATATATGTATGTATGTATGCGAGTGTGTATGTATGGATAAATAGACCGAGAAGATTACCCTGCAGCCGACCATGGCTGATGGAAGCTATCTCTCACCATTTTCTCCTTTCATTTATTTTATGTTAGTCTTGTAAACAAAAGAGAAATCTCCCTATTTCTATCACTGTTGTATGTTTGGTCCATTCACATATACTCCTAATTAATGCTCAAACACTCAGGTAGATCCAATGTTATATGCCCAAAAGCTAGACTAAGTGGAAACCAAAGCTTCCTCCTAATACCAAAATGGGGGAAAGTGCATTTTGTCTGCTACTCTCCTGTCTTCTTGTGGCCCAGTAGAAAGACAAAGAAAAATCACATAGCAGCAAGGAGAGACTACAGGCCTGGGTGACAATCTCATAATGGTAAATTTTCATCATCCCTGCTTTCCCTGGTAGCTAGCTCTCAGATGTGGGCCTGAATTTTCTATTTAAGAAGTCCTCCAGATTCTTCATTCCTGATTTCCTTCCTGATCAATAATTAGTTCTATATACAATTTGATCCCTGACAAATAGCTGCAGGCCCCTGCAGGTTTGACAACATGGCGTCTGACACAGACTGTAGACCATGTTCTTTCAAAGAGATCATACTGAAAGAGACAGACAGAAAGACTATACTGTTTTTTCCAGAGTATGATATTTGAAACACATAGAAACAGAACACAATAAGATTTTTAATCCAAAATATAAACTACTCTTGGCAAAACCAGTGCCATTTTTTTGGTTGTAAGCTTGAGATAAGAGGTGGATGTTAGAAAATCGAAATAGAATATTTTAATAAAATCCATCTTCTCTCAGCCAATCAGAAGTTTGGCTAAGACACTTCAACTTTAAAGTGGAGGAAACAATCTCAGTGAATCACTTATGATGTGAAACATGGTATCTTGAATTGACACTGAATTATAGCATTGTTGGGGGCAGCTAGTGGCCCAGTGGATAGAGCACTGAGCTTGGAATCAGAAAGGCTCATCTTTATGAGTTCAAATCTAGCCTCAGACACGTACTAGCTGTGTGGCAATTCACTTAACTGTTTGCCTCAGTTTCCTCATCTGTAAAATGAGCTGGAGAAGGAAATGGCAAACCACTCCAGTGTCTTTGCCAAGAAAAACCAAAAATGGAGTCACAGAGAGTTAGACACAACTGAAACAACAATAAAAACAGGCACTGTCAGAATGCTCAAAAAGACAGTATTTCCCCATTCCCACAAGAAAATACAAAAAAAAAAAAAATCAAAACCCTTTTGTCTTTTCTCAAGGGCTTTTCAAAGGAGGTTTTAATTGTGATTTGTTCTTTTTATCCAACAATTTCCTGTATATGATAGTCTGGTAGTGTAGTGGAATGAGAGGCCTGGATATCAGGAAGACCTAGATTCAGATCCTGTCTTTGCCACATATTGGCTGAATGACTGAGCAAGTCACTTAACCTCTTCTTGCCTCATGGGAGCTCTTCAGGACTATAAATTGCAGAACACTTGATCTGGATTGGTAGGGAGGGTTTGCATACCAGAAGTTCCTTATTCTGATGAAATCCACCCAACCACTGCACCCTTGCCAGAACCAAACCCCACCCCAGACCTTATATAACTCTTTCCAGTCTTTCCCCCCACCTCCCACCTTTCTCTGCCCACTTATACTTAAACACTATTCCCATTCCCGTTTCTGTTTTCTGGGGTCAGTGTAAAATTGCCTGTCTAGTTGGCCTCCCACCATTTGCTTTAGTCAATCTTGGGTCTTCCATTCTCCTCTGACTGATCTAGCACTGGATCTCCCTCTGCGCTTCTTCAGGGACACAGCTCTTCTGTTTATTTAGTTCTTCCTTACCTAATCATCAATTCCTTTTAGTTTGCTTTATAATATTATAATATTTTTGTACACATAAAAAAATTCACATCCCTTTAAACCAACCACTTTCCTTCTCTGTCTTTGGTTGATACTATTCTCCATATAAGCATATTGAGTCATGGGTTAGGGTTGAACATAGGCCAGAGTTAGAGCTGCTCTACCCAGCCAAAACCATTCTGTGTTTCAGAATTTGAAGAGATTGAATTCAGCCAGCTTATCTTCAGAGAAGACTTTATCAGTGACAGCTATTTTGGGAGCAGCCTGCATGGTCAGATTGCAACAGAAGAACTCCACTTTGGAGAAGGGATCCACCGCAAAGCCTTCCGAAGTAAAGTGATGCAGGGCCTCACTCCTGTGTTCAGCCCTGGCCATGCCTGTGTGCTCAAAGTGCACAATGCAATTGCCTATGGGACCAAAAACAATGATGAACTTGTCCAGAAGAACTACAAACTCGCTGCACAGGTGGGTCCTTTTTTCCCCCAGTAGAGTCAGCTCCAAAGATCATCCTTCAGGGTGAGATTTACTGATGTTTTGAGTTTAAAATCTAAGACAGGGTCAGTGGGGGGTTCCTTTAAGGTAGGAGTTCTTAACTTTTTATGTCATGGACCCCCATGGCAGTCTGGTGAAGCTTATGGACTCCTTAAATAATTTTAAATGCATAAAATAAAATACATAGTATTACAAAGGAAACCAATCATATTGGAATAAATTATCTGTCTACCTATCTTTCTACTTATCTAAACAAACCCGTGGCCTCCATTTTAAGAGCCCTTACTCTAAATGAAGAAATTTGGAAAACCTTCAGGCAAGGATTTCTCTGGCTCTCTGATTATTAGGGACCTGCTTTGATACTAGAATAAACATGAAAAACCATTTGATTTTCAATGGTTTTATTTAACTTATCTCTCCCACCAGTTCTTCACAATTAAGGTTCAGACCTCATACAAGTTTCAGAGCTTTTCGACCAGGTTTGGCCAGGCCTTGGAAAAGTGTTTTAACTACTTTTCAGGTTTTTTGGGGAAATGTCCCACTTAGTAAAGCCAGGGCTACACCTAGAAATCCCTCCTTCCCAGGACTTTATCAAGTGCCAAGGGAGCCTTGTTTGAAGACTCAGCTGTGTGTTCCTCTGCTTTGGCATTTCTGCAGCAGAAGCAAATGTTTTACACCCTCAGACTGTTGCCCAGAACTTTTTGGATTGTTTCAGCAGAATGGAACAGAAAGAGAGTTATTTAGTGGCCCTTAGCATTCTGAGTCTCATTTGGTGGATGAGCAATCAGTTCTCATGAGGCCAACCTGTAATGGTTGTAAAACTCCTACTAACCAATTAAAACCATTGTTCAAAGGTGAACTGATAGATCAATTAGTCAGTGGCATTAGTGGGAAAAGAGTGGAATAGTGCTAGATTACCATTTTTTATATACTAGAAACTATTTCTGGGGTCCCATTCACTCATTATTCCTATATAGCCTATCTTGATATCATTCCTTTTCCTGTAAACTCCTAGCACATCCTCTAGGAATTGAATTCATAATATCCTTCTAGGGATAGATAAAAAAATATATTTGAAAAGTAGTTATTCTTGGTCACACCAAATCTCCCAGGCCCAAATCCCTGATGATAGCCTAGAAAAGGACTAGTCATTGGGAAATTCAACAGATGCAAATTTCCTTTCCTTCTTCCCTATTTTTTAAATTACTTTATTTTGTTCTGAACTAAGAAATAAAATAAACATTTCCATAAAAAGTGGAATAGAAAAACAGCAGATTGCACCTGAAATTGCAAATCTATTATGTACAACTTGCTATTCCTTTCAAATATACCACAAAGTTATCATGTAACTTTTTTTTTTCACTATCTATCTATCTCTATGTATGTTTGACTCAATTCAAGATATCAACTTAGGAAATGATGATTGGTTGAGACTTTTGTTACTTTACCTGATGTCTAGCACAGTTCTTAAATCAAACCTAGGTCTGCAAAATACTATTTGAAGTAACATAGAGGCATTCTCTCTCTTTTTATTGTATACCTCTGCCCTAGCACTGGCCTGAGAATCAGCATACTTGAATCCTAGGTCCAGATGTGCTACTAATTGGCTATGTACTTTTGGTTAAGTCAACCTCTCTGGGTCTCTACTTTCCCCTCTAGAAAATTAAGTGTTGGTCTAACCCTCAGTCTATGATCCCTAAGGTCTTCCAACTCCACAATTCTACCATTCTAAGATGCTCATATATAATTTCCATATATCATATATCATTTGTGGTCCTGAGGCAGAGAATGTCATCTCTATTCTTCACACACAGAATTCTGCCCATTTCTGTTCATTTTGATTCAAAATATCATTCCTTCCCATTTCTAAAGTTTATCCCTTATACCTCAACTGCATTTTAGTGCAATTATGATGAATTTCAGTAACACCCAGAGCCCCGCTTTGAGAGATGCCCTTATGCCCAAGAAAATATATATTCAATAGTATTCAATTATGCATTTTCCAAACCAACATCTCACCATAGTATTATGAATTATTTACTTCTCAGATGATATCTTTGAAAATGGGATTTCAAATGCAAACCCTACTGAGTTTACAAGGTCTTTGATCCTGATTTATTCACTCATCTCTTGCCTCTCTGCGAATCATACTAGTTCTGATTTTAGATTGGCTCATAGAGCCAATCTAAATGAACGTACCTATCAGCAGCCACTCTGGCATCAGAGTTAATGTGGAGTAGACATATTATGTCCTAGGAACACATCATAGAATCATAGAGTTTCATATTTGGAGGGAATTTCTAGGTTCATCCAATTCAAACCATTATCTAAAACATGAATCTCTTTTATAGCATCCTTGGAAAGTAGTTCTCTAGATCAGCTTCAAGGCTTCCAGTGATAGTGAATTCGCTTCTTCCAGGGGAATTCCATTTTTAAAGCAATCCTAATTATTAGCAAATACTTCCTTATTTATTTAGCCAAAATCTACCTCCCTATCACTTCCATCTGTTGTTTTAAGTTCTGCCCTTACAGGCCAAGGAAAATATGTTTAATAATATTTTTTCTACCTGATGACACTTCAGATATTTGATGATAGTCATCATATTTCTTCCAAACCTTCTCTCTTCAAGGTTGACCATCCCTGGTTCCTTTAAGTGATATTTGTATAAAGAGGTTTCAAATTTCTTCATAATCCTGATTGCCCTCCTTTGGATGTATTACAGTTTATAATTATCCTTTCCAAAATGTCGTTCCCAGAACTGAACACTTCTTTAAATATGTTCTAAGCAGTGTAGAGTACAATAGAACTATCATCCCTTTGCTTCTGGACACTATATTTCTTTTATCAATGATAAAGATGACATTAATTCTTTCAGTTAACACCACAAACTGTTGACTCATTGAGCTTTGCAGTCTACCAAAACTCTCAGGGATTTTTTTTTACATTAGCTCCCTGAGAGCACATATTTTCCCCATTCTGTTCTCATGAAATTGATTTCCAACATTTTTACCCTTCTTTCCATTTCATGATGTCTGTAAATTTGATAAGCATGTGATTTGTGTCTCTGAATATCTCTCTGGGAGAATTTGTCCAAGGATTTAGAGCTCTTTTGATTTTTTGATTTAATTATTTTTATTTTGAATGTAAACATTCAAAAAGAAGCATGGCCACATGCGAAGCAGAACACAAAAAGAAAATTGAACATGAAGCCATGTGTATCCATTTCATACTGCTTATTTTTCTTAAATTTTACACATTGTTTTCAAAAACTGTCCTGTTTATCTGTGTTCCCTTTGAAAGTCTTTCTTTTCTCTTCTGTGCATTTAAAAAAAATGTTTTGATAGGGACAGCTAGGTGGTGCACCTAGCTAGTGGATAAAGCACCAGCCCTGGAGTTAGGGGGACCTGAGTGCAAATTCAGCCTCAGATACTTGACACTAACTGTGTGATCCTAGGCAAGTCACTTAACCCCAATTGCCTCACCAAAAAAAAAAAAAATGTTTTGACAGCTCTCTCTCTCTCTCTCTCTCTCTTTCTCTCTCTCTCTCTCTCATCTTTATTGATACCTCCCATCCTTCCACCCTTCCCAAACTCCCAATCTTCTAGTTTAAAATCAGAGAGAGAGAGAGAGAGAGAGAGAGAGAGAGAGGAGAACCTTGTAATAAATAAGCATGGTCAAGCAAAGTGAATCTACCCAGCAGCCACGTACTATGAGAATGTGCTACCTACACTTTTGTAAGCATGCTTCCTTATCCTCACCAGGAATTGCTGCCTGACTTTCTCCTAGTAACATATATTTTTTTGTATCTCTTGGTGATATAGGAATGTTATGTCCAAAATACTGCCAGACAGTATGCCAAGATCTATGCAGCTGAAGCCCAGCCTTTGGAAGGCTTTGGAGAAGTACCAGAGTGAGTAGCCATGTTCAGGTTTGTAATGTCCCCCATCTGTCTCACCAGAGATGATACTAGAGGCAGTGGTGGGATGGATACTGGACAGGGGGGTCCAGCAATACAATTCATCCCAAGATCCCCAGGACCACAGAGTTGCTTCCCTCTCCCAAGAAAAGAAAGAGAAAACCCACAAAAGTAAAGCTCTTACCTCCATGGGGGCCATATCCCATAAAGGATAAGCCCCACTGGGTGATCTCATTCAAAGGACAGCCAAGATTAATGGCGGGGCCCTTGGCTTATACTCAATTACAATGAATACGATATGTTGTTTATCTGAGAACATGATACTTCTGACTTCTCATCTAGAGGATAAGGACTTCAAATTGTTTTACTAGGGGCAGCTAGGTGACCTGGTGGATAGAGCGCTAGGCCTAGGGTCAGGATGACCTGATTTCAGATCCAGTCTCAGACACTTACTAACTGAGTAACCCTAGGAAAATCACTTAACCCATGTTTGCCTCAGTTTTCTCAACTGTAAAATGGGGATAATAACAAGACCTACCTCCCAGGGTTGTTGTGAGGATCGAGGGAGATAATAATTGTAAAGCACTCAGCACAATGCCTGGCACGTAGTAAGCACTATAAAAATGTTAGCTATTATTGGCTATTCATAATATTAGCTTTCATTTGTTTACCAGTTTATATCTATAAAGTGCTTTTATGTGTACAGTCTCACAGGAGCTTTGCAATAATCTATTTATGCAAATATATAAATATATATGTGTGTATACATGTGTGTATTATACATGTATTTTCCATGTTTTATATCTATTTTGTCCGTGTTAAATGTGTTCATATTTTCCCTGATTGTAAGTTCCTTGAGAGACTTTCATTTTTGTTTTTCTCTTTGACCACTGTCCAGCACAATGTGTGACCCAAAGTAGGTATTTATTAAAAGCTTAGGGGAGTTTTGAGGGAACTAGACCCATGATTACATTGATATATCAGTGCTGACCAGCAACTTCTCCACAACCGATAGTCTTAGAGAATTGCCTAGGGCCCGGGGAGGGCTGACTGACTTGTCCTCAGGGGATATAGCCAGTAGATGTCAGAGACAGTACTTGAACCCAGGTCTTCCTGACTCTGAGGCAAGCCTGCTATCCCCAGTGAATGATTGTTGATTGACTGACTGATGTTTATAAAGTTGTATGGTCTGTAGCCTCAAAAAGAAGTGACAGAATGCCAGAGTAAAGTGATGCTCTTCAATTGGGAAAGACCTGAGTTCCAATTCTGCCTCTGAAGCTGGGTGACATAAGGACAAATCATTTAACCTTTCTGAAGTTCAGGCATCTCCCTGTAACTCTCTAGTGACTTATGGGTATGTGGCAATCTGTGTAAGTGGTGGGAATTCCAACATCTTTGTAATTACAGATCCCCAAAGTATTATCCCAAGGTATGCAAAGTACTTTCTTCACAGTAACTTTGTAAGGTAGGAGCTGCAAATGTTATTGTTTCCATTTGACAGGTGCATAAATTGAGGCTTGGTGAGATTAGGTGACTTACTCAACACAGCTATGTTGGTTGGTAACAGCTATGAGTGATGGAGGTGGCCCTCTAACCCAGGGGCTTCTTCCATTCTACCACACTGCCTCTCGAATAATAATTTCCACTTCAGAGAAATAGGGACTAGACATATGATTTCTTTGTAATAGGGAATTCCCAGGTGAGGAACCTCCCTCTACTGAAGTAGGTCAGTATCTCTGCAACTTGACATCACAGAGAGTTAGTTACCTAAAGCTTTGGAGTGTGACTCTCATGACTCACCCAGGTTTATACAGAAAGTCTATGTCAGATGTAGGATTTGAACCCAGTTCTTCCTGTGTTTAAAGCTGGCTCAGTATGCTTGAAGTCATGATGCGTGTCATGTCACAAGCGCTACCATTTCTATGGTGCTTTTTAAATGTTTCAGGATCTCTTTCCACACAGAAGCCCTGTGAAATCAACAGTGCAAGTATTATTAGTCTCATTTTATAGATGAAGACCCTTTGAGTAGCTTGCGTAAGATCACACCCCTCATAAATGGCAGAGCTGAAATGAGAATCCAGCTCCTGGCTCCGAGTCTTAATTGCCCTCTTTGCTGTGCCGCCTCTGCAGTGGTCATGGCAGATTCCTACATTAACCACACACCCTCAACCAGTCTTTTTGATGACCAGTGGCATACTTTTACCAGACATCTGGTCAAGGTTAGAAGCAGAGTCTGTAGCCATAGAACCTCCCAAAGCTAAGTGACCCAAATGGGCAGTGAGTCCCTGGCCATGGCTTCATTAATGAAGCACAAAACTCTAATCCTCTGAGCTAACTGGCCACAGAAAATAAAGAATCATAATTAAACATTGTGATGCTCTCTTTCATACGAATGCCAATAAATCCTATTTACAAAGCAAACACAAAACCCCAAAGAGTCTTACAGAGATAGATCCAGGCTCATTCACGTTGCTTTTTTTTCAGCCCACTGCCTAAATATTTATCAAGCCAGCCAAAAATGTCAGGCACCCGAGATATGTGATTGCCTGTTTATTTGTAAGGTCAACCATGCACATTTATGTATGCGTACACATTGAAAGGAGTGTTGTAGGGCACAACGAGATGATCTGAAATTGGAATTATGAAGAAATGGATAAATGAATGAAAATTGAGGGAGGGATTTGGCAATATTTTACTAAGTATCCAATATGAGTGAGGGATTACAAAGATAAGTAAAACAAAGTCCCTGCCATCAAGGCATTTATGATAGATTATCAGGGGAAAAATACAAGTATATGAATTACTTTAATATAAATTAGAATAGGTGGTACAGTGGATAGAACACTAGTCAGAAAGGTCTGAGTTCAGCTGGGTGACCCTGGACAAATCACTTAACTCCTATTTGCCTCAGTTCCTCATCTGTGAAATGGGGACATGCTAGGAAAGTAATGGCAAACCGTTCCTGTATCTTTGCCGAGAAAACCCAATGGATATGGTCCATGGGGTCATGAAAAGTCAGATATGACCAAACAACAGCAACAAAGTAGAATATGATAAATGCCATAAAAGGATGAAAAGGGGTATAACCAAAATGCTATAGTCATTTAGTGAAGGGAGAGATCATATTCAGATATGGACTTATGAAAGGCTTATGAAGGCAATGCCATTGAAATAGTTCCTTGAAGGACAGGGAGGGTTTCATAGATCTGGAGCTGGAAGGGACCTTAGGAGTATGTATTCTGTATTCTGCTCCTCTTGTTTTACAGAAGCTAAGTGACTGGGTTAAGTGACTTGCCTAAGATTACTAAGGTACAGGGGTATTCATATAAACTGGGACAGAGTAAAATAATTAAATTTGTTGACACATGAATCTCACATCTTTTTGAATCCTTAATTTTTTTTAAATGTAATGTCCTCCTTTTGTTGTAATCATTGTTTTTCATGATATGGCATTGAGTTCTCAAGATTTTGACGTTCTCTAGTTATTCATTATGAAACCATAAATCCTACTGAGCAATTCATTTTCTCAAGGTTAGCCTTATTTACAATGCATAGATTTTTTTTCACAAGGGTTTAAATCCAGAGCTTCCAGGCCATTGAAGCATGATTATCTTTATATCTTGGAAAAATTTCTTAACCTTTTGTGACATGTGTTGTGGTATAAAGTCAAGTTGCAGTAATCCATCAGCATTTGAAAATTCCTGTAATTCTGGAACAACTCTGCTTCTTAATATATCATTATATTTATCAGAGTTTATCATCCCTTTAAAGTGTACAAGACTTCAGGCCCACTGAAAGGAAAAAAATTCCCAAAACATTTTAGAGGGTATATGTTTTACAATTTGATGAAGATGCTCAGATCTTATAGCTACTGCACTTCTCACAAGGGTTTTGGAGTTTCCTTGCATGAGAAAGTGAGTTTTATCAAATAAAATTACCTTTCTCCAATCTTTGTATTGTTTTGCCCATGACAAGTGGTTTTTCTTCAAAGCAATCATTAGTAGCTATTTTTTAAACCAGTCTTTTGTTGTTCTTTAAACTTTGAAAATACTATGCTAGGAATCAGTAACAACCTCTCCAACTATCAGGGCCTTCTGAAGGTCTTTGCTTATTTTTCTGAAGCTTAATTTTGCTATTTTGCAGCAATAGTTGGTCAGTTTTAGTGGGTTTTTTTTTTGTTTTGTTTTGATCACACTTTCCTTTGCTCTTTGGTACAACTGCTCCTTGAAACGCTTGAATTCCCATACCAACAGCTGCCATGATATCTCTAAAAGTCATTGAAGTATGCTCCTTATGCATTATTTAGAATTATAGAATTAAAAACATAACTAAAAGCAACCAGCACACAACTGACAGAGAATTAAAATTCAGTGTGGTCTTATGTGGACAGGATCAGACATTCTGAGTCAGCCTAGTGTCAATAGAAGCACACGCATGACCACTGCAGTTACAAAATAAAACCATTTCAAAATTATTTCTCATAATGGGGGCAGCTAGGTGGAGCTGTGGATAGAGCACTGGACCTGGAGTCAGGAGGACCTTAGTTCAAATCCAGCCTCAGACACTTGACATTTACTAGCTGTGTAACCCTAGGCAAATCACTTAACTCCATCCCCCCCCAAAAAATTATTGCTCATCTCAAGTAATTCACATGCCATCATAGTAAGCTTCATAAGTAGGATTTGAGCCCAAGTCTTCTGACTCCAGAATCAGTAGATGGGAAAAGGGGCATCACAAGTAAAAGGAACAACTTGATCATGGAGGTGGAAAAAAGCAGAGGATGTTGAGGAATGTAGGACAGAAATAGGGGAGTTGTAAGATTTAAGTTTGGAAAGATATGTTAAGTCCATCTTGTGGAAGACCTTTAATACCAGACTGAAGAATCTAGAGTTGATTCAGTAAGCCTTTAAAGTTGTTCAGCCCAAGAGTGGTGTGATTGTAGTTTGCTTAAGGAAAATGTATTGAATAGTAGGCATGTAAGAAGGACTAAGGTT